ATTATTTTCGTTGCTACTTCATCACTGTCATGTTGCTACTGTGATGAATCGTCATGTAAATATCTGATATGCAGGATGGCCTTAGGCGGCCCCTGTGAAAGGATCGTTCGACCGAATTGTATTTAAAGGGCCAGAAGGTTGAGAACCACTGCTCTAAGGTCTCCTCAGAGAAGGTTTGGCCATTTATTTCTTTCTCTTTTTCTTGCTTTTTAGAAACTATTTATTTTTTTGCATTAGACTTGATCTGTACAGTCAACCTGCCACATGGGACTGTAAGGTTTTTCAGACCAGGAGCTTTGATGTCAACTGAGCCTACAGTTGGCCTATAGCACGGGCCCAGTGAATGTTCAATGAAGGACTGATGTGAAATAAATTTAGAAATATTAAATGATGATAGCCAATAGTAATTCCTTGATCCTATATAAGTCAATTTACCAGAATATTTAAACAATGAATAGGGAACTACAGGTCTGAAGATGGTGTCTTCTGGATCAATATTTTGGCCTATGTGATTAGAATTTTGATGAATTTGTAAAGTTATTCATACAACTATAGGCTTTTAATTCAGCATCCATAGTGAAAGAGGTTAAAAATTTGAATGATTTAAATTGAGAAAATGTATTGCACCTTAAGTAAGAGACATAGAAGAGATGAGGGAATAAATGAGCAGTCAAACTCTAGTATCTTTTATTTTATTTATTTTTTAATATATTTTTATTGATTTCAGAGAGGAAGGGAGAGGAAAGATAGAAACATCAATGATGAGAGACCATCATTGATAGGCTGCCCCTTGCACGCCCCCGAATGGGAATTGAGCTCGCAACCTGGGCATGTGCCCTTGACCAGAATCAAACCCAGGACCCTTCAGTTCACAGACTGACACTCTATCCACGAGCCAAACCAGCTAGGGCATTTTTATTTATTTATTTATTTATTTACTTATTTATTTACTAGTAGCCCATTGGAGGGAATCACAGTGTGATGCTGAGAGTCGTGCTGTTTCCATGGGAGCCGTGCTGTTTCCATGGGAGCCGTGTGTCTTCCGCAGGAGGCAGAAGCAAGCTGCTGGTGCCCACAGGAGCCAGGAGGGAGCCACACCGCTTCCGTGGGAGGCGGGAGAGACCTGCGCTGCTTCCGCAGGAGGCGGGCCCATCGTCTCCTTTCCGGGGCTGCACTTGGCTGTGGAGGCTGCAGGCCAGCCCCCCGTCTGTGTCTGCTCCAGCTCCGGGGGGCCGGCCCAAGCCAGGCTTGGCGACGAAGCAAGCATTCCACCAGGGTGCTCATGCTGCCTGCTCTCAGCAGCCGCCCCCTCGGGACTGGGGGACTACGGCGGAGCTGAGAGGACTGGGCACAGCCATCTTGTGGCTATGGGCGCCGCCATATTTGTGATGGAGTGATGGTTAATTTACATATTACCCATTTTATTAGAAAGGATTTTTATTTTTTATTTTGGAGAGAGGGAGAAACATGGATTTGAGAGCATAACATCAACTGAGAGCTCGAACCCACAACCTGATCAAGTGGCCTGACCAGGAATTGATCAGGCGACCTTTTGGTGCACAGGATGACACCCAACCAAAGAAGCCACCTAGCCAGGCAAATGCTAGTATCCTTTAAGACTAAGTAAAAGGCTGTGCACCCTGAGCTAATGAAACAAGTGGCAGAAAGTCTCATCAGAAGTCGTTTGAGTACCAGTAGGATGTTCCATTGTGTATTATGAAGAATTGGGACAGGAGCATTGCATTCGGGAGCCAGCAAAAACATTTTGGTTTTACCTTCTGCCTGATCTGCCCCTGCTTACCATTCTAGCTTTGCCTGAGACCATCCTCCTCCCTGTCTGTGATGACCTTTTAATTATTTTTTAAAAAATTAATCTTTATTGTTGAGATTATTACAGATGGCTGTCTTTTGCCCCCCCCCCAAAGCTTCTCTCCACCCAGTTCCTATCCCACCCCAGGCTCTTGCCACCCTATTGTGTGTCCATAGGTAATGCATACGTGCATATAAGATCTTTGTCTAATCTCTTCCTGCACACCTCCACACCCCCTTCCCTCAGACTCATCAGTCTGTTCCAGTTCCATGCCCCTGATTCCATTCCATTCACCAGTTTATTCTGTTCATCAGATTTCTTATTCATTTGATTTTTAGATTTAATTGTTGATAGGTATGTATTTGTTGTCACTTTGTTCATATTTTTGATCTTTACCTTTTTCTTCTTCTTCCTCTTCTTAAAGAATACCCTTCAGCATTTCATATAATACTGGTTTGGTGGTGATGAACTCCTTTAGCTTTTTTTTTTTGTCTGTAAGCTCTTTCTCTGACCTATTCTAAATGATAGCTTTGCTGGGTAGAGTAATGTTCAAGACACATCATAATTAAGAGCAAAAGACAAAGAGAGAATCTTAAAAGCAGCAAGAGAAAAACAGTTACCTACAAGGGAGTACCCATACGACTGTCAGCTGATTTCTCAACAGAAACTATGCAGGCCAGAAGGGAGTGGCAAGAAATATTCAAAGTGATGGATAGGAAGAACTTGATCTTTCACTTCTTTCACTATTCATTGCCACCGTCCCCCACACATGTTCCTGTGCCTGGCAAGCTCCACTGTCCCACAACTGTTCCCATAGAGCTTTTTCTGACTAAGTCCTCTTCTAGATTAGGGTTCTTTAAACATCCTTGTTCATCCTATTCTTTTTCTTCCGCATGTTGAAAACAACTGTCGTTCGTTCATTCATTTTTGCAAACTATATTTTGGACAATTATCGGAATAATTTATATGGGATAAGTGATTGAAATGCATTATTTCTACAGTTTTGCCAAAAAACATGTATATGCAAATATATCTGTTGGGGAAGAATTAAAAATAAATGAAATGATCTTTGTGGTTTCTGGAATGGATCATCATCAAAAGGGTGACAGATGAGACCTTGTGCTCTGGAGTTTGAGACTTGGGTTGGAATCCTGGACCCACCAATTTTAAGCTGTTCAATCTTGGGCAAGTTACTTAACCTCTCTGTGCTTTGCTTTCCTCCTCTACAAAATGGTCTTAGTAGGATCTATTGTTTAGATTGTCGTGATTTTTTTAATGAGTTAGTTCATGAGGCGTTTAGCACACAGCCTGAGACATGGTGAGCACTGCCAGTCATTGTGATCTTTTCATGCTCATTCCAGTCCCCTTCATCTTTGTCCTCTCTCAGGTGCTAACTCTGTAGAGCATAGTGCTACATGGTATCTGGCCTTCTGTTTCTTTGTAGAGAAGTTTCCTCTGGGTACCATAGTTACCTCTGGTTATAGCTTGAGGAGCTTCTTCTCTCACTCCACCATTCTCTAGAGAATTCCACTCCTGCTACCAGAATTGTGATGCCTATCTTTTATAAAATAAATCACTTATCTCGTCTTCTTTTTTTTGTGGTTTAACTTTTGGAGTATTAACACTCAGATCTGTTTTTCCTGACAGCTGGCAAACTTCCCCAGGCTGTGCGAGGAAACGGAGCGGATTGTGGCTAACCACATTCGGGAGCGGGAAGGGAAGACCAAGGACCAGGTGAGAAGAGGCCTTCCCTGGTGGCCAGGGGCCTCGTGGGGAGTGTAAGGTCTCCCCAAGGATGTCTGCTGGTCTCTACCAGTCGGCATTATAATGGGAAAAAGAATAGTTAGAACACAACCACATATGTTTATTTTTACTTATTAATAAATTTTATACATGTGTTGCTATACTAACATCTTGTGTATGTTAAGGATATAAACAAATGTAAAGACTTTAGAAGGATGCAATTTAAAACACAGTAATAGGAGTTCCATTATTTTTTCTCAGCACCCCATAGATCATAATGTGTACCCCTAGCATGTACATAGCCCACCTTGAAAACCACTAACACTAATCCAGAAACAGAGCACTTTTTCTTATTTAAGACAGGATTTTTAAAATTTTAATGGGTCCAGAGATGGGAGCCAAGATTGTCCTAAATTCCTAAAATGCTATGCAAAATGTTCAGTGTTCTGGTTTTCTTTGAGAATAATGGACAAAGCTATTCATTAGCATACCCAGGGAAACTTCCATTGAAAAATAAAAACTTTTAAGAACAGCTCCTTTAAACATTTCTATTTTGTAGAATATGGTTTCTAAGGATTGACTTTGAAATTGTCTTCCAATTCCAGCTTGGCTCTGTGAATCCAAAAGATTCTTTTCAAGTGAAGATAACTCATTAAAAAAAGGGAAGGCCTCCAGGAAGATAAAAGCTTCTTAAACTTAGGTGGATTTTTTCCTGTTATTTATAGTTCATTATAATGGGGAACACGATGGTTTCAGATGCTGGTAGAGGCCAGGACACAACTGTATGACATGGGATGTAGGCCTGTGTGCTCTCGGAAGTCCTCTAGAAGTTATAATTGCAAGATTTTGTGGTTTTCAGGTGAGTGGGATGAGGAGGAAGGCAGAATAGAAGCGAGAGAGAGATAGACAGAACACAGGGAACATGTGCAGCGGAGGCTGAGGCGAGAGGGTGGGGTGGAGTGGAGGGACAAAGTGGAGGGAAGGGCTGGAGGACCCGCAGTACCGTTTTCCCGATGAGCTGCGGATTCATTGCCACTCCTTTTGATCTTCATGCTTTGAAAGTCCATTAACCATTATTCATAGTTTTCACTTGTTTTTCAATGTTCACACCTGTGGAGAGCCAAAAGTGGAGCAAATAGGCTTTGTGACTTAGGGATAAATAAAATCAAGGTTAACTCAGGAGCCAGTGAAATCAAACCCACATATGTCATGCTGAGGTCCGAAGTTTCCCCATCTAACGTCATGGCTGCTGCCTGACCAAGAACACTTAGGTTCTAGTGTCAACTGTGTTAGAAACTGACTTTGAGTAAATAGATAACCACTTTAATTTAGTGGCTTTATTCTAGAAAATTTGAATGATAATATATCCTATTTAGCTCTTCCCTGAGATGACAATATTGAGGGCATAGTATCATTATTATCTTTGTGTCCATAGCTAACTGAGTTGTTAATGCCTTCCTGTTTCTTAGCGTTGTTAGGACTGTGGGCCCCGGGTTCCCACAGCCCGAGTTTGAACCCAGATCTCCCATTTACTTTCTGTGTAAAAAAAACACATTATGTGGGCATCTTCCCACTTCGGTTTCCTCACCTTCAAGTGGGATCATGATGGTAGTTAACTCACTGGCATCTTGTGAGGATGAGATGCAATAGCCCAAATATGGCTGCAGCTCATCAGTCATTTTAGTTATTTTTGCCAAAGAGCCATGACACAGTAGGTATGAGGAAGAAATACCTTTTCTCCTTGCAAGGGGCCTTGTCTTGCCTCTGCAGCTCTTATGTGCTGATTAATCAACTCTCCAAGGGGGAGATGAGATGGGTGGGTGTCTGCTCCCAAGTGACCACCTCGGCTGGCCCGAGGAAGCTAACACTTGCCACCTCTGACAGGAACCTGTGTGGGAGCACGTCTGGTTCGGCCGGGCGAACATGTCCATTTGCACAGCTCTCACATCTGCCTCCTGCACTCCATTCTGCCTTGGTGCCCCCTCCACCCTCACCCTCGTGGTGGTCGAGAGGCCAGTGTCCTCAGGCCTCTGCACTAGAACTGTTGAGAGGTGTTCTTATATATATATATTTTGAAATGGAACTATTACAGACTTCTGCTCTGGCAGCTTTGTGGGAGGAAAATTTCTTCAAAATTAAAAATATGGAAACCCATAAATCAGTCGGTGAATTTTTTTCTAAAACAAAGGGCTTTTGAGTACCTGTATGTGCCTGTAATTCTTCCAGGTGCTCCCAAACATGAGAGTGCATGTTGAAGTGGTCGGCTTTGTGGGCGATGACTGCCCCCAAGGATAGCTTTACTTTTCTTCAACTCCATATTCAATAACTGTGGGTGAGAAGGGCACTGAGAAAGTGAAAAAAGTGAGAAAAAAATGTACTCTTTTCATCCCCCATATGTGACCTGGCTCTCTTCCTGGGATGAACACAGACTCCTAGTTTCCAGGAATATGAATGAGAACAGCCGTAGTTTTTATTTTTTCCACTTTTTTTTTCCTACACTGCAGTCCAAGTTAATGTGCGAGAACGTCCAAGACATTCATGACAACCCTTGGCAATGTTGAGAATTATGTAGATATTTTGCCCTTTATGTTGGTAACAATTGACTTGTGCTTCAATTCGATGGTTTTTTCATACAAACTCCTGACCAAGTGGATTTGAGAGTATAACAGAAGATGGCTTCAGTATGGGAACAATTGAGGCACTACCACAGATAATCCAATAAGGATCACTCTTCCTAATTCTTTAGTTGTCTTCATTAACAGAAGAAACCAAACTATCTGATGGTAGGAAATTTCTCATACAAGTATTATGTTTCTGGCCCAGTAGCCTTCACTTTATGTTTAGAAGTGAGGGTGGGTTTGGGGTGACCCATTTACTCATCTTGGAAGGTCCTCTTGGGACTCAAAGCAAGATTTGATGAGGGGGCCAGTTGAGATTCCCCACAAAAGCAGAGCCTCAGAGCCCACAGCATTGGGCAGTGCATGGAGAAACCATGGCCGCATACTAATTATATGGGAATAAATTGTGCAGTTGAAAACAAACTGCTGTTCAGAGCTGGGAGGTAGTTCTAAAATTTACAGCCACAGGGATTTATTGGACACTTGCTCTGTGTATTGTGCTAGGTTCTGGGGATCAAGTGGCGAACAAGACAAATGTACTCCCTGTTCCTCTGAAGCTGACAAGGGATGCAAACAGACGAGTGATTAATTGGTGCTAAACACCACAAACACAAAGTGTAGGCTGCAGTATATGTAAAATATGACACATAGGCGACATGAGAGTGACATCATCATTCATCCTGGTGTTGGGTGAGAGTGGGGTGAGGATCAGGGAAGAAGTCTTCCCTAAGAAAGTTCCCACAAGGGAGCAATACGTAGACTACGTCAATGAGCCTTACCAAGAGTGCTCTGCTGCGCTGCAGTGTCACCTTCAGTGTAGGGAGGCAGCGTGGGGTCATCGAGGTCATTAAAAGTTCATTCAGCAGTCTCAGCGCAGAGCTCTGGAGGTACATAGGCAAGAATTCTTAAGCGTTGTTCATTCTTAACCTATCAACAAAGCTCAGCATTCTAGGAAGACATGGAGACTGTTGGGAGAGCAAAAAGGAAACATAGAAAGGGGAGCCCAGTTTTGAATAATTCTGGAGTAAAGCTTTCTTTCTTAAAGTGTCTGCCTGTCCCACTCTCTTCTTGTTCTCTAAGTCTCCTTGTCTCCCACTGAAGAATATTTTCTACAGAGGGACCTTCCAGGACTTGGACTTAGAGTTTATATAAGTACCTTGTGATCAGTACATTTTCATGTTTACTGAAACATGTGTCCAGTTCATTCCTTGACAAATCTTGATTGGATTCACATGGTATTTTAGGCTCTGTTCTAGTCCCTGGGATACAGTAGTGGCTACAGTAGATGGGGTCCATCAAGTCAATTTGTAAAAACTTCCTATGTCAGCTAGTGGTAGTGCTACAAAAGGAAAATGAGCTCGATTCATAGGACAGAGAGTAAGAAGAGTGCTAGTTCAGACAGAACGGGCCGAGAGGATCCCTCGATGAGGTGATCTTTTAGCAGAGAACTGACTGAAGTTTTGCTGTGATGGTGAAGCTTATTGATCTCAAGAAGTCTTTCTATTTATTTGTATATTGCATTTTTGAGTGGGTCAATCAATATTCTCTGCTTGCTTATAGGGAGCTTAACGAGATAGAAGAGGAGAGGATATTGCTATTTTGAGGCTAACATATGGTGTCTATGGGAGCAGGAAGCTCTGAACAGCTCCTCACTGGCCTTCTTGCCATGTGTCCTTTCATACATGTGTGTCCTGTTTAACATGTGTGCCCTTCTTTTGAACATCATGCCTACATTTTAGAGGAAGAGAATAATTCTAGGTTCTGTGTTAAGTTGGCCAAGAGTGCATGCCTAGCAATTATAATGCTATTGTCTTCTTGTGGGAATCAGAGTTTTCATGGAGATTTTCAATTTCTAAATTTAGAGTAAAAATTACGAATTTAATGAAGCAAAAAATGAATGCACCTTTTCATTCTCACTGAAGCATCCTTTAAAAATTCAATGCAGATAATTTGCAGGCAATTGCTGACTTGAGTGTGTGAGACTATGTAAGATGGATTTCACTAAAGTGTTTCTCTGCGACTTACAGGTACTACTGTTGATTGACATCCAAGTCTCCTACATCAACACCAACCACGAAGATTTCATTGGCTTCGCAAAGTAGGTGGAAGACTCAATTGCTGCGTGTGTTCCTCTTGCTGGTCTGTCTAGAATACACACTAGGAATTTCTCCCACAACCCCACCACCTCTTGAGAGTGCATTCTGGGTCAAGGTTAAATCTGAGCCATCCTGTGAGGCCAAGCTCTCTCCATAAAGTAGTTGGCTCCTTGGTTGCGCAGCATATGGGTCACATGTGTCTTAGACACTCATTGCTTTTGGATGACCATCCGCAGTTTGTACTTGAACTCCCATAGATAAGCAGCAACAGATGCACATTTAAAATATGTTTGGGAACAATTTCTCACATTAATTTGAAATAGCAAGTGCAGTTCACAAGATACAGCTATTTCAACATTCCTAAGTTAGAATATAGAGCCTATTTTTTTAAAAAAAAGGTCTTTTGTGAACTTAGATGTAATTATAGGGGATGAACATTCTCTTTTCTATAATATATATCTTATAGAAGCTTGTTTCTATGTTGCTATTTTATCATACATGTATTTTATATTCTTAAAAAATTGTTTTCTTTATTGCTTTTGAGAGTGAGAGAGGAAAAAACAACATTGATTCGTTGTTCCACTCATTTATGAATTCATTGGTTTATTCTTGTATGTGCCCTGACCTGGAATTGAACCCACAACCTTGGCTTATTAGGACAATAACCAACTTAGCTACCCGGCCAGGGCTTGTTATATTCTAATATTCTAGCTCTACATTCACAGATATCACTGTGTAGACATTATGCTTAGTTATTCAGGGCTGGTTATTAGTGTGGCATTCACCACTTTTTCCTGCCCTAGAGTGGAACTAGTTTTTGTTTGATTCTAACTCTAAAATATAGTTGTGGCCTGTAAATGGTTCGAACTTCAAATATATAAAATATAGTCTCTTTTATATAAAAAAAAATAAAGGGGGGGAAATGTATTTGAACCATGTATTCAAGAACAGGGGCAAATGCAAAATAAAACACAACAAAATGTAAAGCCAATTACAGTCTGATTGAAAAGAATCAGAATGTAAATCATGTGACTTAGACTAAACCCGGACTGAGGAACTGGCAGACATGTTTTAGGGAGGAAAGGCTCAATTATCCAACAGCAGATTGTCTCCTTGTAAAGGTGGCTGTGGTTGTGAGGCTGAACCAATGGTATACATATATTTGGAATCCAGCAGCTACTACTGTTGTGCGCTAGATGTTTTTCCTCCACTGTTTTGTCTGTGACATGTGTGTGGAGGTGTTAAAACACAGTATTGAATTTGTTCCTATGGTCAGTTGTCTTGGTAGCGACACTGTCCACACAGACCCATCCCTCCCGTTAGCCCTGATGGCTCCCCCATCTGCACTGCTCACTTCCTCCTGTAGGTCCCCTGTGAGGGGAAGCCTGGATGCTGAGATGCCTCCTTGCCTATCACCCTGGAAGAGGGGACCTGAGAATTATGCCTGGTTTGCAGCCCAGTCTGTGACCACCATGTGGCCTGTGCCAAGCTCTACTCTTGGGGGAAAAATACAAGAAAAAGAAAGAAAAAATCATTTTTGTCTGTTGAGAGTTTGCCTAATAATTGAAAAATATAGAGAAACACATGTAACATTTTAAGTTGGCACATTCTCCATTCCCTTCTGTTGCTTCCTTGAGGAATTGAAAAGAAAAACAAATCCTTGAGTAATTTTAAAGAACAGGAATGCTGTCTTTAAAAGTGATTTTTATTGAAGACAAATGCTATTTAGATGTAAACTTGAGCCCATAACGTAACAGTGAAAGGGACATTGCCACACCACCTCGTTGTGGTCTCCCGAGCCAAGGAGAAAATGTAGAAAAAGTCAAAATCTGTTTGGGAAAATTCAAATTTCGAACAAGTTTTGTAACCAGTGCTACAATTGAAATTCCAGCCTAGACTTTTCTTGAAACACTTTTTCTTGATTACCTTTTAAACTTCTTTTCAAAGATCAATGATCCGGAGTTTACTTCACCTCAGAAGCTGTTAGACTATAGCATTAGATTGACTAGGTTTTCGAAAGCATATAATGTTGCAAATGTAAACACTTTCAAATGCAGTCTTTCCATGCAGCCTCTGTAATCCAGGCAACTGCCCCCATTTTTCCAGCCTAGAGATAGACTGTAAGCCATTATGATGTTGGGGGAGAAAAAAGAAGCCTTGTTCAGACCACGTTAGAAGCGGGGCAGCTTTGCACATTTTGCATCTAGTAGAAACTCGCACCTGAACTTCCTTTTGAAGGCCGGGTCTGGGAGTCAGCGGTCGGATCAGTTTTCCAGGATATGCCGCTAATGAGCTTTGGGCTTTGCCAAGTCGCTTAGCCTTTCTGTACTCAGTTTACCGCTCTATCAAGTGGAATAATAAATAATCCCCCATCGTATACCTTTTAGGGTTGTCAGGAGATCAAATTAATGAGGTGTTGTGAAACTGCTTTTGAGAACTGGGGTATAGTCTGTAAAAGCAAGAAAGTGGTATAGGTATACATATTCACATATAAGCATATACACAGACACACACAGATACAGACACACTCACAGACACATTCACACACACACACACACACACATTTCCCACCTATTTGTTAAACACAGAGGAATTTGTGTTTAACACAATTTTACTTTGTTGTGAAATTGATGTTTGGAGTATGATTGCCACTAGAATATTTTTAGACACCAATATTCTCTCCAAATGTGAGATTCTGCACTGAGACTCAGAGGTAGACGTTCTTTCCATTGTATGCTGAGTTGCAGTAGATTTCAGAGTGACGTGGGATTGAGATGAAGAAATATTCATAATTACTTTGAAGGGTTGCGGGATCTTTTGTGTTTTTAAAAGTTAAAAAAATACGGTTGTAGCTATAAATTTTAAAGTTGGCAGGACTGCTGTTTCCATCAAGGAAGAAAAGTCAAGCCATACTTGAAGGAAGACAATTATGTAAGTATTTTTAAGTTCCAGGGATAGAAAATTAAGGTCTCAAATTGAGGAAAAGAAGAATTTGTTTCATGAGATTTTTAAAGAATTGTCGAAAGAGGGGGAACCACCTCTCAAGTTTATAGAATCGTGATGCGCATAGTATTTTACACATGTATTTTTTTTCTAAAAATTTTAAAAACAAACCAAAGCGCTAAAGGTAGAGTAATGGAGTAGGAATTCTCAGAGTAGTGTTCAGACATCTTGAAATTCTTCTGCCTGCCACAGCATTTACTCTGCCATGTTGAATACGTGGAACATTTTTTTCCCCATTTCCTAGCTATTTGTTAAACACAGACCGTAAAATATGTACCATGTGTCATGGATCCAAGTTAGCGCTGCTGTAGGCTTGCTTTGGAATTTCCTGGTTTCTGAAAGCTTGATCTTTAAACTATAATATAGTTTCTGAACCTAAACGTCCGGTCTTCCAGAAGAAAATGTCAACTTTCCTCATGACTTAAGGATTTTAATTTGTCATTGTCCCTTGTTAAAAAACAAACAAACAGCCCCACAGGTCTTTTTTATTTTTTACACAATGTCACTAGTTTTTATTATTTAAGAAAACAAAGCTACTCCATTTGTTCCTTCATTCACTTCCCCTCTCTCAAGATTCCTGCTTTTTGAATAGGAAGGCCAATAAGTGTTTGTTAGCTTGGATGCCTGGGGAGGTTAATTTTCAAATTCTCATGCTCTTCTGCATTTGTTCCCTGGGCAGGAGTTTTAACTTCTGACTTAACTGAGATGTCAACAGTTCAGTAGCTTACAAGCATTAGGGCTCCAGATAGGAACCAGTACACTTATGTTTTGATGACACCAGCGTCAGACTAAGGTCTATTTTTCCATCTGCAGAGTAGGTCCCAGCACCTGTTTTCTCACAGTTGAAATGGCAGAGTGGACAGATTTCAGTGCTGGTTATATGAGTACCATGAAAATCCTGCCGGTTGTAACATTCATGATATCTCTTTCCTCATCCTCTGGAATGCCCGTTGCCATTTGCCTAAAGGCAGTATATGTGAATCTTGGCCCCAAATTCCAGAGCAATACTTCACAGTCTTCGTATATTTTTCCATCATGTGTAATCACATTTTATTATAACAGTGTTTCTAGTTTATATTCTTACATGAGAACATTCTCTCTCTTGTGGAATCAAAGCCTAGGCCTTAGATTAGAACAAGATCCTTCTTTTGACTCATATGCAAATTTAGGAATTAAATGCAGATGGAAATACAGACCTAAACAATTTGCCAAGGACAATCCGGAGTGTTCACGTCTTCTAGTAAATTTTCTGTTCCAGTGTTCCAGGCAACGTTTTAAAAAATCGGTAGACATAAAAAAAAAAAAAATCGGTAGACTTCTACTGTTCTCTTTCATCCTCAGAGCTGTTACTTTGAACTTTATCTTCATCCTTAACATGGATCTTAGGAGATGAGTCATCCTTCTTTCATAGGGCCCCACGTCCTGGAGGGTTTTCTTACGTAATATTTAGCCTGAGACTTCACTGAGGATCCTGCAGGGGGAATGCAGCTTCCTTCTCCCTTTGGCTTCCATCTGATTGGAGGAGGCAGGCCTGCACATGATGCGTCGTACTCTGGGGACTCTCAGCATGTGTTTATAATATCCTTGGGGTAATAAAAGATCATTTTAAAAGGACTTCTTTATTCCAGAGCAGTACTGTCCAATGAGCTTTCTGAGATAATGGAAATATTTTCTATTCTGGGCTGTTCAGTACAGTAGCCACTAGCTGCATGTGACTATTGAGTGGCCAAACTGGGACTAGTAAAACAGAGGAAGTGAGTTGCAAGTGAAATAAAAATCAAATTAAATAGTAATTAAAGTTTTAATTTCAATAGCCACATATGGCTATCAGCTACTGTATTGGATGGCACACTTGCAGAGTATGGAGAATCCAGCCCATTGCTCAGGGTCCTTATATCTGTGGACCCTACTTAACTGATGGCTTGGTGGTGATCTACTGTGGTGGCTTCTAGAAGAGAAAAAGGGGGTAACTCTGTTCGCTGTTGCTAAGCAAACCCTTTGACTCAGGAAAAAACAGTCAACTCTTTAATCTTCTGTCTATAACGTATAAAGGATGGGCTTCTCCCTCCCACTGCCTTGGTTTGTCTGTTGCCACTTTGCTAGTATTTTCTCCATCATGGTTACTGCTGAAGTGTCTCCTCTTAGAAACTAAGCATGATGGTGGAGGGAGAGGCCCAACTGACACTTGATATGCAATCTGCATTTCTGAGCGACTCCATTTCCTTGGTTCAGTTGAGCTCTATTTAGGTTCATGCCGAGTCCACATTCTTCCTCCTCCTTTGTCACTTCTATCTCATTTTTCAGCCCCTGAAATCTTGTTTTGACCACACCGCTCTGTTGAGACTGCTTTTGGCCAGGACAAAATATTTAATCCAGTGGACAATTGTGAGTTCTTCATATGACACCATTAACCAGAGGTTTCAGTAACTAGCTTTATCTGAAGACTATAAACCTAGATCTCCATTCCAGAACTTCTTCCTAGACTGGGCGCCATAGCCAGTACATACTGGGCATTTCTACTTATCCATCCTAGGGAAGTCTCAACTTGATTTTCCTTAAACTCATCATCTAATCTTAAATCTACACCTCCTCCATTGCTCCCATTCTCTGTGGGTGGTAACTTCCAGTTGCTCAAACCAGAAACCCGAGTGTCATTCATTATTCTTTGTTCCCTTCTTTGTTTCCTTCCATCTTCAACAAGTTCACTTGATTCTACCTCTATTCTAGTTTCTGAATTTGTCTAATCCAGGGGTGGGCAAACTTTTTGACTCGAGGTCCACAATGGGTTCTTAAACTGGACCGGAGGGCCGGAACAAAAGCATGGATGGAGTGTTTGTGTGAACTAATATAAATTCAAAGTAAACATCATTACATAAAAGGGTACGGTCTTTTTTTTTCAATAGTTTTATTCATTTCAAACGGGCCGGATCCAGTCCGCGGGCCGTAGTTTGCCCACGGCTGGTCTAATCCTATCATCATTTATATCTTTCACAGAGTGCCCTGCAGGTCGTTGGTGCCCTAAAATTCTTCTTCTCTTGTTTGGGTTACTACAGGTCTTCCTGCCTCTTGTCATGTCCTTTATCATTTCTTCTGAGATTCCCTGTTACTTTCAGAATAAAGTTTAAACTCCTCAGTATGGTTTCCAAGGCTCTGTAGAAACTGTCTCTTAACCTCTTCTTCCAACTCTGTACTAGGCAATGTCAATGGCGAGAGGGGTAGAGATACCAAGATTCATGCAACATACCATCAGTCATTGAGGAACAGACATTGTCAGAGAGGAATTAGAGATCTGCCTGACAAAATCCTGTTTATATGGTACAGGTGCAGACCAAGATCTTTGGGAGTTCATGGGAAGGAGGAATAACTGGAGGTTTCTAAGAAGGCATATCCCAGAAATGGTACTTGATTGGACTTTGAAGGCTGGGCAGGACTCGCAGTCAGAAGGAAGGGGCGGAAGCTATCTGCTTCCTATCTTTTCTGCTTCAGACTCAGACAATTTTTACAAAACACTGCTTTGATCATGCCATTTGCTGGCTCAGAAACTTTGAATACTTTTGTCTGCCTCTACCATAACAGCCAACTTCTCCCTAATTGGCTCTCACATTCAGTTACTGTACTAGGAGGTTTTTAAGGTCATTTACAACCCTGAGTTTATGATTATATAATTTTGCTGTAATAGTTTTACTTTCCACAACTTTTCTATGTTCCTCATTTTTTGACTTCCTGACTTTGATGATACTACACCATTCTCCTGGAATGCACTTGGCTGTCTTCCTCTATTAAAATTGTACCTTTCTTCAAGTTTTCTGTGAAAGTCTCAGATCACATCAGACCAGACTAATCCCTTTTGTTTGTCTCTGATGCAGAGCAATTACTATGCATAGGATTTGTCTGATAAGTGGTTATAAACCCCTTGGCATACTCTCCTGTGATTTGAATCTTTTATTGTGTATGCACATGGACAAGGACAGAAACTAGAAATGAACATGCAAAAAACATTGAGCTACATGGTAACATGGGTTTCTTTTTCTCTGAATGTCTTTCAATGTGTTCTTATTTTTACAAAAATTTAAATCTCTTGTTACATATTTTTAAAATCATTATGTCTCAGAGCATTAAACCTAGTTTGGCTTCATGTATTTTAGGGTTCTGGAAAGCCTTCCACAGTGACTTGGTTGTAGTAGGAACTTATATGCTTAACAACAAACACAATAAGAAGCTATAGGGTAATTATAGCTCACATATGAAGCAGAAGCACATGGGGGGGGTGCTTTGTATTACATTCTCACATGTTTACTTCTATAGAGCTTGTTCTTCCTTTGTTCTTTGTGTTTTGTGTGTGTATCTCACCACCCACACTAGATAAATTGTAGGCTTCTGATTATAGGGGCCATACCTTAATCACGTTCATATCTTCCACAATAGCACCTTGCAAATAGCTGGTGCTCTCAAATTTTTGACTTATGTCAAGTGAAAACATTATACCTAGGTCTGTTTTCCAATATTGCACAGATAACCAGTAAAGGACCTATGAACAAGATTATGTCCAAAGGCTCAAGTTCACTTGCAAGTCTTTACAAGATTTCCCATAAACACATTTTTAAATACAGTGGGGCCCTGACTTACGAGTGTCCCGACTAACGAGTTTTTCGAGATATGAGCCGTCTCTCGGCCGAGTTTTTGCTTTGAGTTGCGAGCTAAAATTCAGGTTAGGAGCCAGCTTCAGATACCCCATCGCTAGTTGGCGCAGCGAACGTCACAGTGTGGGTGCATCAGACCCCTGGTCACAGTCAGACACAAACTCTTTTTATTATATAGGGTTAATATACACTTTTATTATATAGGATTACTGTTTTGAACAGTGGTTCAAAAGTGTGATGTTGATTTCTGATGTGGCTCTGAGCCATAATATCCCATTACTTTAAACAGTTAATGACTTGAGCTTTTTCTCTGTTTTGGACTATTTCATTGATCTTCAAAACAGCCTTTAAGAACTATGAAACTGCTAGTTAGAGGGTTCAGTATTATTAACCTTATCAGAATATCCAAAATAAATTTAGTTTTCTTATATCAATAGATGTTTACTCATTGATTTACCAAAAGAAAGCCTTCATACCTTTTTAAAAAATGTTTTTAAATTGATTTTAGAGAGAGAGGAAGGGAGAGGGAGATAGAAATATTAATGAGAGGGAAAGATTGATTGGCTGCCCTCTTGCACCCTACTGGGGATAGAGCCCACAACCTGAGCATGTACCCTAACTGGGAATTGGACGAGTGATCTCTTGGTTCACAGGTTGATGCTCAACCACTGAACTACATGGGCCAGGCAGAAAGCCTTCATTGTTTTGACTGATAGAGGAACACAGTGCCTGGACATGTGGGCTCTAGGGTTAAATTGTTGGGGTCATCTCTGGCTCTTAACCCCTGGCGTTGTGTTATAATGGTGTCGACCTCACTGGGCTTCTTATTCAACAGATATTTGTTAGAGCTAACTACAGTGTGCCAGGTAGTTTCTAGGCCTGTGATGGCGAACCTTTTGAGCTCGGCGTGTCAGCATTTTGAAAAACCCTAACTTAACTCTGGTGCCATGTCACATATAGAAATTTTTTGATATTTGCAACCATAGTAAAACAAAGACTTGTATTTTTGATATTTATTTTATGTATTTAAATGCCATTTAACAAAGAAAAAATCAACCAAAAAAATGAGTTCGCGTGTCACCTCTGACATGCGTGTCATAGGTTCGCCATCACTGTTCTAGGCACTGGGGATATAGCAACGAATGAAATAGACAAAAACCCCTGCTCACAAGGAGCTCACATTCTAATGGAAGAAGACAGACAATAAACACACAAAAATTTATTAAATTATATAGTACGCTTGAAGGCGAAAAATGCCATAGAGAAAAATAGAATAGTGTAAAGGGGATGAGAGTCCTAGAAGAAGGGAAGGATGCAGTTTTGAACAGAGTAGTCATGGTATGCCTCACTGAAAAGATAAACTTGAACAAAGACTTGAAGGAGGTGATGTCAGGAAATATGCTTATATCTGGTGGAAGCTTATCTAGGCAGAAGGAGCAACGAGCATAAAGCCTTTGAGATGGGAATATGCTGGGTGGGTTATAGAAATAGTGATCAGTGTGGCTGAACTTCTCCAATGAGGGAGATGGAGAGTAGGAGGAGATGACTCAAAGAGCGGAGGGTGCGGGCAGCTAAGTAGGGCCTTGTGGACATCCAAGTGGCAATGTTGAGTTATCAAAAACGTATATGAGTCTAGATTTGGGGAGACGGGTCAAGCTGGCTTTGTTCTATGGGAGTTGTCAGAATATAGTGGAATTCAAAGCAGTGAGATTGTAAAATGTCACAGAGTTTGGGATCTGGAGGCCAACTACTTACTAGCTGAGTAACTTTGGGAAATCCATTTAGCTACTCTGGGACTCAGTCTCCCCATCTGTAAAACGAAAATAATAATAGTAACTACTTCACAGGGTAAAATTAGTTAAAATCACTAATATCTGTAAAGCGCTTGGAACATGGCATATACTTAATAACTACTAACTGTTCATTTTCAGTACATCTACTCTGCACACCTGCGGGGCGTCCCGAATACTTGCCTTAACTCCTATTATTATTGATGCAGCAGTGCAGCGATGCTTCCTGTGGTGTTACTATGTTTTTGGTTTGTGACTGTTAATTGGGACTAAGAGTTCCACTGAGTTGGTTTTGCTTCAGAATAGTGTCCTGAATTTTTGGTATATTAGCTCTGCCTAAGTTGTTGATACATTTTTTTTAAAGCCTGTATATATTTTAGTATCTGTTACTTGTTCAGAAAAAAAAAATCTTACACGTTTCTTCAGTGCTGCTCTCCTTTGCTTTTCTCAGTGCTCAGCAGAGGAGCAGTCAGGTTCACAAGAAAAACACAATTGGAAATCAGGTAGGAATTGCCTAAAAGAATTAGTGCATGCATGCCCCAGTAAGTTTGAACTAAATTGCTTGATTGACTATTAAAAAATGCAAATTAATCCTGCGCAAATTTTGTTGGAAATGCAGCTTTCGGTTTTGTTTTGTTTTGGCTTTTAAAGTTTTTAGAGCGAATTGTTTGGGTTTCTCTTTTCTTCTCATTATTTTGCTACACGATGCAGTTAACCCTATTGATTTATTTTAAATAACTTCTCTGCTATTTGCTCTGTTTTTCAAATTTGACTCCTTATATCCTACTTTGCTTGCTTACATTACCAGTAAGTTTGATTTAACAACAAGTCTGTGAGTCAGTTTAAGGTTAAAATATGGTGAATAGTTGCATGAGCTTTCTGATGCTGCTGACTAGTTCACACGTTTGCACAGCTTGATAACAGTGAAGGGACAGCTCATGGAGAAGGCAGTTGTTGCATTTCCCTGCTGCCACACCCAATTCCTGTTGGTTAATAAAGATGTTAATTCCTCAGAAGATCTGATCTTTTGAGTTTTGCGTTTTGGGCTGAACCACTGTCTCTAATAGCGCTCTACAGAGATTGCATTAACTCCGATAGTTTGCTGCTGCTTTTATGTTTTATGTGATAATGAATATTTGCATTGTTATTTCTTTTCAAGTCAAAACAATGATGACTTTATAGTGCTTTTTTTTTTAATGCAGAGGTACAATTATTGAACAAATTGAAACCTCTGCTCTAGATTTTTTTCCATTGTTTTGAAAGGAGAAGAGGTAATAACAGACTTTATTTTAAAAACTTTTTTCCTGAACTAAAGCATATAATTCTTTGCTATTTCAGGGAACCAATCTTCCGCCTTCAAGGCAAATTGTACGAGCTAAGTTCTGTAAGCTTTACTGTTGCTTTTTCATTTAGCTTCCCATGGGCACAGTTTTGTCTTTAACTGATTAACTCAACTAGCGCTTGCTACTAATTTTTTTTTTTAAACCTAGGTTGTCTTGTCCATAACACCCTATCATTAAAACAAAAATCCTCTTAAGAGGGTTCATCCCTTCACTGCTAATAACTTGCTGTGATTGAAAGGTATGAACTAGTAAACTCTAAAATGCTGTAATAATAAACCCTTAACATTGTGGATGCTTTGGTATTTCTCTAACTTTAATGGGCCTTAAAAATAATTAAAATCATTAATGATCTCCATCTCTGTCCTTTTATGCCATGTTGTTATATGGTGTAAGCCTTTGTATAATACTATTTCCAATAAATGTTGATGACGCTCCTACAAGGTGGGTGAATATTGAACATCTGATTTGTTATATTTGCTGATAAACCTCCCCAAATTCCAATTATTTGCATTTTTTTAAAACAAAACCAAATTTACATTGATTGCAATTTTATATTGCTTTACAGTTGAATCTTTTAAAACTAGATACTCTATCTTCATTTTATGAAAGTGTAAAGATTCTGTCAAATTCTAACAATCATTTTTGGGGGAATGATTCTACTCTCATTTCTACCATGGCTGAAGCAGCCCTAAAGTCTTCCTTCCTTCCAACTACGCACAGTGGAGGATGAGATGGGAGCATGGGCCAGTTATTTGCTCCATGTTGCTTTGGAAGAAAAGGACTTTGGAGCTAGACATCCCTTGCTTCAAATTATGACCCGTCACTTAGTAGCCAGATGGCCTTGGACAAAGTGAGCCTGAGTTTGCTCAGTTACGTGATGGGAAGAATAGAAAAGATTTCTGCAGGGTGAATGGGAGGATCTGATGTAATATACACAATGAGGTTTGCAGCTGGGTCCTGGGTTTGTGACCTGTAAAGACCAGACACCTTGCTCCCAGCAGGTAGGTGCTACTTGTTCAAACTTTTGGGAGAAAACACATAAAGTATAAGAAAATAATAAAAGTTATAAGACGAGAACAATGAAACACTGGAAATTAGAAGCCATGACACATTATTCCAAAGATTGCAATGCGCAGAAAAAGCATTTGCCTATAAAACTTTCCTCATGGAAGTACATACTTATTGGGAAAGCAATGATACAGTGGCATAAATGCATACTCTAAATCAGATCTGAAAGGAAACTCTGAACCAGTTACCAATTATATTACTTCCAAATGTTCAAATCATGCTAACGTGTTTTTATGACTTGACTTTTGCTGAATATTTCCAAACCCATACATTTTGAAAGTTTTATAAATCCAAAGATAATAGAATTGGGGGGACTGTTAACATAGGATACAGGTACTTTATCCCAACCTCTTGGGTCCAGTTGTGCCTTGAAAGTCAGATTTTTTTTTATTTTATTTTAGAAAAGCAATACATATTTCTGTGGGGTCAGAGATAGCACCCTGTAATTAAACACATTATTTTTCTGTAGTGAGACAAATGAATAGTCACACCAGATAGATTAAATGAGACATAGAAATACTTTCATGTTGTCAGGTTTTGCTGCTAAATTTGTTTAAAAAAACTTTTTTTTTTTTGCATGTAATGGATTATGAACCTGAATGTCTTATTTTTCAGAGTAAAATCCAGTAATTAAAAGCAATATAATATAGTTTAGGAATCCTTTATTTTTTTCCTTCTTAGTAGAAATGAATCATAATGACTTGAAAACATTTTCCTTTTGAATTTGAATATCTGATGCTGATTTGGGTTTGTATTAATACAGTTTATCAGTCAAGAAGCTCAAAGCCAGGGAGCCATGGAGCCCAGCCTGCTGACTGATGCAGACTTTTGTGGTTGGTGGGCTGAAAATTCTGCAGGATCCCAGCAAGTGGTTCATCCATTCCAATATGCATTTCAGGCTCTGGGTTGGAAGAATTGCTATGCAGGATCTATACTGAAATATGTTAGAGGGGTTTAAGGAAAGCAAAACTCCTCTTTAAAGTCTAAATTCCAATTGCTTTTCTCTACCTAGGAATTTGCTTACAACTTTTATAAGGTGATGTCTGCAAATGTACAGAAATTTATGAGTACACAATTAGCTTCAGGTTGGACTGATCAAAAATGTAAATTTAAATTTAATTTCATTCATCCCTTCATTCATCAAACATGTATTCGAAACACTCTGAGTGATAAAAACTGTGGTAGGTGTTTAAGCCAGTGATGACTAAGTCACAGCCTTGTCCTCAGGGCGCTCACAGCCCAGTGAGGATGATGGTAAGTAAGAAAACTGAAGACTGCTTCCTTCTTCAAGGCTAATTCTTTCTGATCCTCCAGGTCTCACTGAAACATCACTTCTGCGAGAGGTTGGCCCTGACCATTGGAACTAAAATCACACACCCCTCCCCAGTGTCTTACTATCATCTTAGGCACAAAATTTGTGCACTCAGGTGGGGAGGGTCCCTCAGCCTAGCCTGCGCCCTCTCACAGTTCAGGAACCATCAGTTAGCGCTGCCTTGGAGGCGGGAGCGGCTCCTGCCACGGCCACTGCACTCGCCAGCCATGAGCCCAGCTTCTGGCTAAGTGGTGCTCCTCCTGTGGGAGCATACTGACCACCAGGGGGCAGCTCCTGCATTGAGCATCTGCCCCCTGGTGTTCAGTGCGCGTCATAGTGCCTGGTCGTTCCACCATTGGGCCGAAATCAGCTCCAACATCCCCCGAGGGATCCCAGGGTGCGAGAGGGCACAGCTAGGCCGAGGGACCCCACTGGTGCACGATTGGGGCTGAGGAGGGAAGTTGGCCAGCTGTGGAGGGTCCATGGGAGGGCTCCAGGGTGTGTCTGGCCTGACTCACTCAGTCCTGATCGGCTGGACCCCAGCAGCAAGCTAATCTACCAGTTGGAGCATCTGCCTTCTGGTGGTCAGTGCATGTCATAGCAACTGGTCGACAGGTTGTTCTGGTCATTCCGCCGTCCGGTCGCTGAGCTTTTATTATATAGGATTTTGAATTGATAGCAGTGATCTAGATATGAAACAGAACTATAAAAAACTACAAACAGGAAGAGAACCAAGATGGCGGCCTAGGTAAACACTTGTACTTGCTGCCTCCCACAACCACATCAAATTTACAACTAAAATATAATAACAACTATCATCCAGGACCGTGGGAAAGCTGGCTGAGGGGAAGTTTTTTATCTTTCTTCACTAGGACCTAAGCTCCATTAATGATATTTTTTTTATGATGCTTAAAGCAGTTGAATATCATTGTAAGGTTTTAGGCATGATCATATTAACGTTTTAGAAAACTCCTGCTTATAGTGTGGAGAAAGTTCTGAAGGCAGAACAAGGTTAGAAAAAGAAGACTAATCAGGAGGCTGTTGCTGACAAGAGATTATGGTGATCTGGGCCAGGCTATCTATACTGGATTCAAGGACAAGCTCATGAGTTTGGGAGAACTAAATAGGAAAAATCCAAAGGAGGTGTGATGAGATGAGTGTTGGGGAGACATCTGGGGATCATTAGCAATGCTGTTCAGATATATGATTTAAGTACAGGTGAGATGGTGGTGCTCTTAATGGAGAAAGGAACATAGTGAAAAATTCAGTTTTGGAATCAGAAGGGTATTTGTTGAGTATGAATCACTGTGGGAGATTGAAATAAAAGTCCACTGGGAAGTTGTATAAAAATGTATAGAGTTTAGAAGACACAGAACCTATTCCAAAGGTAGTAGGAAGCCACTGAAGGATTTCCAATAAAGAAGGGTTACCATCTGATTTGTATGTTAGAAAGGTCTGTGTGTCAGCCATAAGGAATGGTTTGGAGAAATAAAACTAGAGAGATGGAAATTTTTGAAGAGGTTTTTGAGGTAATTTCGTTAAGAAAATACAAATGTTAATAGTGGGAGGTATGTAGGAGAAGGAACATTTAGGAACGGTTAGCAGGTAGAAAGAGTTAGAAATCCTTTTGGGGATATTAAATCATCCTCCCAGGCTATGGCTAAGGGATCCACTGTTGGGAGTGCAGAAGTAGGAGGAGCAGATTTCAGTGGCAAAGGGAGAAGAAGGTGGTGATTGCAGTCTGGGATATATTTTTTGTGCCTGTTAGTGACATCAGTAGAGTTTGAGGTTGAAGACTTGTCTACACTGGAGATAGAAGTTTTATAGTTTTCAATGTATACTTGGTAGCTGAAGCCATGAAATTACCTACAGAGGATGAGCATATAGAAGGAATGATGTAGAAAGAAGAGTCCAGACGAATGAGGAACTTAAAATTAGTCTAGGAACTGATAAGTAGGAAAACTTGGAGAGTAGTAGAATGAAAACCAAGGGAAGAGAACATTTCAAGGTCTTGAAGGTTATTTCCAGGGAAAGGTACGATAGTATTAAGTGTTTCCAAAGAGTCCAGAAACTTTGGGGAAGTTGTTTAATAGTTGGGCTGGTAGAAGGTTCTGTGCAGTATTGGGGACTAAAGTAGTATCAGTCCTCTTGCTCTTGTGAATTGCTCTTCTACTCCACAGCTAGAAGGTAGCAAGAAGCAGAGAAAGCAGACCAAGAAATTGATGTCCTGAGCTGGGGTCTTTTTAGGGAGGCAGCATGTACGGTCAGGAGAGCAGATGAGTTAAAGTTTTAAAGAGAGATAGGTTGAAATAAAAGATTATGTCATCTAATATGAATGCTTTTGATTGATGTATTCATCAGGACAGGCCAAGCAAGTAACAAACAACCCAAGAATTTCAGTAGTTTACTATAACATCAATTTAATTCAACCTGCAGTAACAATCCCATGAAGGTCATTGAAATGGGAACAGCCCTGCTTCACACGGTCAGTCATGCATGGTCTTTGGAATTCTCTTCATTTTTCTAGCAAATAAGAAAGAGAAAGAAGCATGAGGGAGAGAGATTTTCAAGAACAAGCCTAGCAATGACATTTTCATTTCCATTCCGTTGGTCTTCACTTAGTCATTTGGCTCCACCTACCTGAA